AGCGGGGTGAAAAAACCTTCTTTTTTTTTTTTGACTCAGGAAAATGTCCACTCTAAAACAAATTTTTATCTAGGTTTTACGGCTAGTAAAAATAAAAAAAAGTTTAGTTCTGTTTGATACATCACATTTCACCAATTCTACCATGAATCAATGGTAAAGGAATGACAATAATTGTTTATTTATACATTATTTGTTTTATTTATTGCCTGTTTTTTTTTTCTTTTTTCCAAGCTCACTTCAAATCCTTAGAGATAAGTAATTCATTGAGATTTCAGATTTAAAATGTGTGTGTGTGTGTGTGTGTGTGTGTGTGTGTGTGTGTGTGTGTGTGTGTGTGTACAATGAAAGAGATACATGTGACATCTGCTTTGGCAATGTTACTGGGAATTAGTGGATAAATTGATGAAATAAAAATTAGAACATCTCCAATTACACAATATTAAAGCAGAATAACATTATCCGATCATTGTATCTTAAAAGGTCATAATTTCCCATGTCACTTCAAAATTGGTCTTAAAATAGACATTTATAGAACCACAACACATTTTGGGATTTGCCTTTCCGGTATACAGTGTATCTATTTATGAAAATAATAGGAAGTTCTCTTATCTTTCTGTTTAAACAGAAAAACACTTGAAGCTATTGAGGAAATTCTGAGAAAAGTTAGCAGTGGGGTTGAAAGTAGTCCCACATGAGCATGACAATTTTCATGAAACAAGGCATTTCATTGGCCAGATGAAGGGACTTTCCCTCAAGTTTAAAATCCAATCATTTGATGTCAACAACAACAGGATTTTAACCTGTAAGTACCAACCTGTAAGTTCCCAGTATGGTATAAACAACAAATGTAGGTCACTAGGATATGTTACAAAACACAAGTGTGTCACAATTAAGTGACCTGGGGGGGAGGGGGATTTAGTGCCAAATATAGTCCAAATTACATAATGCGGAGTATGTCAACAACTTCAGGATCTCAAACACGTGTCATAGATTTTGAAAAACATTGCACATGCATTTGAGAAAATACATATACAAACACGCACATTAATTTTAATTTTTTGAGTAGACTTAAAAAAATCAAGTAATTGGGATTTACATAAATTCCATCAGTGACCTGAGCTAAAGTATCATGATTAGGATAGCTATTGTCAGAATTCTCCTAATTGTCCCTGCTTTCAGGATAATTAAAAATCATACAAGACACCAAAAGTCTCAATGATTAGCAAAAAAATTTAGATTGAGATTTCATGGAATTTGGAGGAGAGTGGGGTAAAAAAAATTTTAGCTGGCACAATTTATTTATTTACTTTTGTATTTGCACATATCTTAAATGTATTCAAAGCAAAGGAGTATGTCTAAGATCAAAGAGCCAAACCAAAACACATGTATAGACCTCATCACTTTGTATGAAGAGAAGTGTTGTGTCAGGGGCGGATCCAGGATTATTTGAAGGGGGGGGGGGGTCCTCGATGCCTCCTCTAAATCTGCCACTGTGTGTGATTGTGTAAAAAAATTATCATCGGTCAGCTCACGACTCATATCCTCTAATTCAATAGCAGCTTACATAAACTGATTTCTGGTATAATCGAGCTATTTCAAACAATAAATGACATTTACTGCATAAATTGTGAGCAAGGAAATGTTACATCAAGCAGTATAACAAACTGGTGACATTTGTATCAAATTACTCTTGAATAGAATACACAAAACAAACCTGTCCTTTATTCAGTAATGTTACACATACTCAGATGGAAAAATGAAGCCAAACAATTATATTAATGCAAAGAGCAATGTTCCTTTTTTCATCAGAATGTCACAGCATGAATAAATGATATCAGAAACAAGATTGTCATTGATGAATGTAGACAGACAGTTTCTAACTAAATTATTTCCTTTATTATATATTACCAAAAGTTGAAGATTTTACAAGGAAATAAAAGGCTAATACATTATTATATAAAACTTCTGTCACTGAAACATAATCATGGCAGATAACAAATTCATGTTATATTTTATTTAAACATTGTGAAATAAATAAAACATGTACCAGGAAATAATCAATTTTAAGCATGCTCTAACAGGCACAAATTGCCTGATGTTCCATACAACAGTCTTACTCCAGATCACTTAATAAAGGCATCCATTAATGCCAGTAGAGTCCCTTTAGAAAATTTCCTGGTAAGATTAAAGATTTAAAACATTTTTCATTTCATGTCTAAAAAGAGTGCAACCTGTCTTTTAAGAAAAGTGTCTGGTATGCAAGCCCCCCCCCCCCCAAAAAAAAAAAAAAAAAAAAAAAAAAAAAATCAAACATGATAAAATTTTTCACCAGATGCTGTTTTGGTATACAGCAACTCCAAGAGGTACAAGTATTCTTACTATAATGGTTTATCTGAATCAGACAGAGGATAATGACAATTTCAGCTGGCCAGCTCCTGCCCATTCCAAAACCGTTTCAGCCAGACACTGATACTGGCAAACTTTAAGTTCAACCAGGGACAATGGCGGGCACATTAAAGTAATAGCCAAACTAAATGGCAAAGGAGACAGATGGCGAAAAACTCAAATTTTGGTCGTATCAGAAGCCAAAAGTCTGCTTCTATGGATATAAAGTTAAGAAATACAGTCTATAGGCGTCTTAGAAAGGGATTCATTTGAACATTATGGTACAAGGGCACTGCATACAAACAGCTATTTTTGTACTTTGTTTCAGGGGTAAAAACTTATCTCAGAACTAGTTTGGCACAATTGGAATCACAGTGAAGGCAAGGGCTATATTCAACATCATTAGAATAAAGAGTTCATTATTAAGTGCATCTGCATTAGTTGTATATCTGAGCTCGACTGCAAACTGCTGGGACATCAAAATGCACTCCAATGCGAAGGGGAAGGGAATTGTTTAAAGGAATACATAGAAGTAGTTATATAATATGTGAAGAGATGTCATATTTAAAGAACAGTTGGTAAAACTTATTCCACCAAAGTTTTATTAGATGGAAAAACAATTTAGTTACACATACAGAGAGAGAGAGAGAGAGAGAGAGAACTAAACTGACATACCAATTCAATCGAGACAGACAGACAGACAGGCAGAGAGAGAGCGCCAGATGAAGACAGATTGATCATACAGATCTAGTGCTCGTCTTTACAGATAAATTAATTAGTTTAGATATGTAAGATACACTTTCCAACAACTGTGATATATTCCAAACAACAGAGCAAACTAATTTCTTTGACATTTTGCTATACTTTCAGTATAATTGTTTCAGCATAAGCAAAAGAAAAAGAGATTGTTCTGGTTATGTACTTCATGGGGGGAGGGTTTTATAAAGTAATCATATCCTATAAAATATCATATCCTCTGGAAAAATTGTTTATATTGTAGATTTATATTGCAAAAGATGCAGATATAGAATCTGATAATTTTGCCTATAACAATTATGGAAATGATATATTCATAAGAAAATGGAAAGCTAGACAGCAAAGCTGGCAAATAGACTGACACTTAAAAGCAAAAATCATACCAACATCTAGAAAACACATACACACACACACACACACACACACACATTCTGTGTTTGTATGTATAAAGAGAAACATGTCTTTACAATTGAAAAAGAAAGTGCCTGTTAGAGTTCAGTTGCACTGTGAATGTGTGTGCATGCATATATGGGAGTGACCAATACCTGAGCTATATGTTTGTATCTTTATCTCTGAAATTTCTCATTAAAAAATCTTCTCAGTCATAAAAACTACCTATGCTTGAGTTGTTATGCCTTTATCAGTGTCACATCCAGGGTAATACAATGCAATTCAATGTTTTAATTTTATCTTTTAAGATGGTTTATAAGTAAATTTATCGCTTAATTTATAAGGTGAGTAGCCCCCACCACCCCTATGCCTACCACCAATGCAAGCACACACACATTTTGGTGGCTCATGGGACATATTAGCAGAAAAATATGCTTCTGTGGGTCTTGGTATGTGTCTTAGCTTCCCCTCTATTAAGGTGGGTCAATTTAATTCTGAGCCTGCCCTTCTTCCCCTTAAAAAATGAAAGTAGTTTATCTTTAATTGTTGGTGGACATTTTCAAGTAATATATATATATATATATAATATATATATATATATATATAATTTTAAAAACTGGAAATTCAGATTAACTATACAGCTAACATCTATTTAAATCCACAAAAGCATGAAAAAATACAAAAATTGTGCATTAGAAATCAAACAGAAAATCAAACAAAAGAAAAACTGCATCTGTTCCTTCAATTTTCAGTCAAAA